CTCACCTTGAGGGCTACCGCGCTCTGTCGGAGCGACTCCTAGCCGTGGAGCAGGCGAACGCATTGCTGCATGCGACGGTTGAGCGCTTGGCGCCATTAAAAATGGAGGTTGTTGCACTCCGTGCTCAGAAACAGTTGCAGGCTCAGCTTCAGGGTGGCCGAGGGCCCGTGGGACCCGCTCCGGCACCAACGCTTTCGCGTTCAATTGCGCCGGATCACGGTACGACTTGAGCAAACCCACTTAGAACACCGGGTGGGTGCGCATCTGTTTGGGATGGTTTAGCGTATACGCTAGGCCCCGCTTGGCCAGAACCTTAAACGATCCGATAAACCGTGAACGAAGCTTCGTCCGGAAGATGGCAGAGGCTGCATTTGTAGACAGTTTTTTAGAGTTTATAAAACCAAGTCCCTGACCTTAAAGCTTTCCACTTTGCCTCTTCCTTTTATATCTGCATATTGTTTCTGCAGGTCTTGGCTTTCAGCCATCTCATCGCGAAAGTGTCGTAGGACACTCAGTCTGGTACACAAGAAGTCATCGACTTCTTTACGGATGGTGAGGGGGCTGATATCAGCTAGCCGTTTGGTTATTCCTCCCCCATCAAGCCCCAAGCCATGGGATGGCGGCGTCAGCGGGACGCGAGGGTGAATCAGCCCGTTCACGTAGAACGACGTATAGCCGGTAGACGAATGCACTGCATTGTTCAGTGCAAACTTTGCGAGTGGCAACATGGCGCTCCAGCGCCTCGGTGCCTCAGCGCAGACGCTGCGAAGAACGTCTTCGATGACGCGATTCACCCTTTTGGTTTGACCATCGGTCTGCAGATGATCCGCTGTCGACAAATCTTACTTGATGTCAAGCACCTTGAAAATAGTCGACCAAAATTTTCTTGTAAAAAAACGGGGGTCTCTATCAAAGAAAATCGACTCTGGGAGTCCGTGTTGTCGGTTCAAACGACCCACAAACAGCGTTGCTGTACCGCCCTCGTCGATGGTGTCTGACACCGCCGCCAAATGAGCCATCTTGCTCAACCGGTCGACAAATACCGCGAAACCGGTGTTGCCCGCCGAATATTTTGTTAGGCCAAACACAAAGTCCATACTCATGGAATGCCAGCACCCAGTGAGAACTGGTAAGCTGGCCAGCGC